CTGATGGATTCTCTTTTCCTTGTCAACCATGAGTGCATTGCAGGCCAGAGCCTGGTCTAGAAAGTTATTCAAAAATAAACAAATAGAACCAGAAGAGTAACTCTATTCTTTTATTCAAAGTTTATTAAAATATAAGAACAAGTTGTAAAAGCACACATACCACGCAGCACCAATATTATAACACTTTTTCTACTGATAATCCCCAAAGCTTTTCTCTTTTACTGCAACTGAGAAACAGAGGTGGACACACGTGTTCTCAGTCACATTGACTCAGCACTTTTTGCACCGTGACCCAAACATTCTCCTTGCTAAGGAGACAGAGATGGAGAGAGGCAGACTCGTGTGACTACATCCAACCACAGACTGAGCAGATGGCTCTTTCGTCAGTAGTTATCATTTGCACACCAGTGAGCTCTGAACATCTCAGTTTCCTCTTTCGGGTGCTGGTTACATGGGCTTGTGAGTCTGGTGAAAACATGATCCAAAACCGAAACAGAACTGGCCAACGTTCCCTACCCAAGACCTTTTGATTGCTTTGGTTATTAAGTACTAGGTACATAGGTCTTCTCATCCCGACTCCTAACACATCAAAACCATAAGGCATGGTCTGGAACAGTCTTGAGAGAATTTTATTTATTTCCCATCCCCTTCTGTGGGCCTCTTTCATTTTTCATGTTTACCTGTTTGAATTTTTTTTCTCAAGACATATGGGGGAGGGCAGTTTGAGCCAAAATGGTGACTTCATTACACATCTGCTAGGTCTCCGAAGTCTCAGTAAACATTAAACGAACTCCCTAGAGCCCTGGTGCTGCTGCCCCAGACAGGCAGCAAGCCCTGGCTTGCGTGAGCAGTCTTGTTTGAATGTCTGTATGTGTTTGCTTTTTGCTGGTTCAGACTCACCTTGGAACAGAGCTGCGTCTGTTCAGCCTGAGACCTTGTTTCTGCTGTTATCTAGAACACGGGGTGTGAATAACAGAGCCGATGCTTGCTCGTCCTGAAGTCATTCACTGACATTAGGAAGCATTCCTCTGAGCATAAAAAGTTTCATTTCAAATCTTTCCAAACATGTAAGCCCAGCCCTTGGAGCTGGGGGCCGGGGGGGGGGGCACTAATTCCTCCCCGTTAGCAGCTTCTCAGCTCATGCTGACCCAGATCCTTCCTTTCCTAAAGGGATTCAGGACAGTCTCAAGGCACTCTCATCATCAAGCAGTAAGTGATCCTTTCTGAAAGTCCATAAAAAGATCAGGTTTGGCTTCTACGTTTAAGGCAATGGTAGAAATTGGAGTATATCTAAATATACTTGTGTTCTTGTTTGGAGCTATATCATAAAGAAAGCTCCTGGAATTGAAAGACTCACAGCCAGTTTCCACTAAGACAGACAGCACTGCACATGTTCTGACAAGATGAAGCCCTGGCCTAAGTCTTTCTTTATCCTTCAGTGGGACAGAAATCACCCTAATTTTCCCCCTCTGCAGTGGCCAAGGGATTCTAATTAAACTTATTTTCCAAACCATCAGTCAGAGGTCAGGTGAAACTAATGTCCAGGTTGATGCTCTTACGATTTACATAATGTGACGCCTGGTACATCAGCAAATCCCTCTGGCTGTGGATGGAGGCTACAGGGCATGCCAAGGGCAGCTTGTATCCACCTGAGAATTCGATGAAAAGCATCATTACTACCCCCACCTGCCCCTCCAGTAGTTTGTGTGAGGCAACCCCCACCTGTGACCTCACCATATTTTATGAATTTTATTAGAAATCCCAAATAGATACATTCAGGCAAAGAGATCAATGAGTTTCTATTGATTATTGGAAGAAATTAACTAAATCGAAAGACCATTTAGAAGCTGATATTACCAAAAATATGGGGATACAATCTATGAATGCCACAGGAGCAGGGATCTAAAGCATGAATGAAGTTAACATGCGTGTTAAATGATTGGCACTTTGGCAACACAGAGCAAGGTACAATGACTGGTTTGCCTCTACAGCGGTCCATTGAATTTGTACGCAGTATGTCTACAGTTGCTGGGCTGACAGTTCATGCCCATTCAAGAAAATCATTGTCCAGATTACTTCCTCTAACCAACCAACTAAAGAGAGTTTTAAATAGGGCTAAGATGTCTTTCAAACACTTAGTGTTTGAGTAATCCAGGCGCTATGGTAAGTTCAATTGTAGACAGGCCACTTCAGTTTATAGTAGACAGGCCAATTGACTTTGAAAGTATAAACTGTTATCCCCGTGTAAACATATCCTATGGGAGAAATCTTTTGTGTGTGTGTGTGTGTGTGTGTGTGTGTGTGTGTGTGTGTGTATCCTTGTAAGAATATATGTACACATATATTTGTGTTTCTTTGGGAGAATTACAATTATAACTCTTCAAAGGAATAGACATTATAAAAGGCATATTAGGTAGGTGGGTACTGACAGCCTAATAGTATCTCTGAGCACAGTAGCTGAGCATTGATTTTTTTCATCTCTTGGTGAATGACTTCTTGTTAATTTTATAAAAAGGCACATCGTAGGAATTCATAGAAGTTTACATTGAGATAAATAGGTTCTATAATTGCAGACTTATCATACGCGGGAGACCAACCCACTCTACACAGTGTCAGATTCCTGAGCTCTGCTAATCACTTTCATCCTGGGCCCTTCCAACATTTTTTCTTCCAGTGTTTCTGCCATGCTCTACTGAACATGTCTGTGTCCCTGACAGTCAGCCTATATCTTTGTATATTTGCTTCCTCTTCTTCCTTCTTCCATTGGCCTATCCTCCAAAAGGCAAATGGTATGCACACACAACCTTCTCTTTCTTTAAAAAATGTAGCACAACTGGGTGATTTTTTTCCCATTATCCCTTTTCCCCAGACAACTAGCATGGCATTAGCCAAACCTCATCCCCCCACCCACTCTCTGACATTCTGCTTCGCTATCACACATGGAAATCAAGGGGGTCATTTGTGGACAACCACGTGGGTGTGGGGCGGCCAAATTTTCATTTTACTTCTTGAGGGAGACACCTGAATCTCAACACCATTTTGAAGATTAAGATGAAAGAGGGATCACTCCTAAGCCTCAACTGAAGGCCTTTAACATCTGAGGAATCTGAAGTAATCAATCTTCAATATGATTTTACAAAAGTTCATTAGACACCATTGCATTTTGGGAATTTACTGTGTTTCTTTGTGGGTGTGTCTTTCACAGAATTTAAAACAATGGAGATCTTAGATGCTGCCAAAAATATTAGCCACAATGTTGCTTCCATGATTAAACAATATATGGGCTAGTGATCCAACTAATTTCTTGCTCCCATTTTAGAAACAATACTCTTGTTTCATACATACCCATTTCCTATTTTTCACACTTGGGACAAATATTTTAATAAGGTACTTTTAAATTTCCATTGTCTTTTTCCAAATAGTTCAATGTTATGGTTTAATTATTGAATATAATAGGCATAAAAACCCTTCATTTGGCATGTAACTATAACCATACATTGAGATCTTAATTTCTCTGTGTTTAAAAAATAATTACAATACATTGGTTGATCTTTTGGTGTGTTTCGGTTTTGTTTTTTGGGGTTTTTTTTTTTTTGAGGTTGTGATCTTTAGGTACTGCTTGTAGATACAGCTGTGCTGCTTGTATTTTAAGAGCTATGTATTCGTAGATATACTCACAGTTATGTACACAGCTATTAACCTTCAACTAATAGGTTAATCCCAGTTGAAGACAAAAGAATCAAGTCCAAATTCAAATGACAAAGGAAATTCCATTTAACCAAATTCCTGTGGTACCAAGCATATAAGCCCTCAAAACTATGGGTAGAGATTATCAGAATAAATTGCTCTCATGGCTATGTGAAGAAATCGCTTATTATTACAGTTCTTCTACTCGAAGAGGGGCAGAAACTGAATGGCTAGGGTACCTGCCTTTTACACCCTTCACAGCACCCAGAGGAAACAATGCTACAGAAGTTAGGAATGGAGGGGGTGTAGCATTGTAATTGTGGGAATTTGGCAGTAACAACCCATCAGCATCAGACCCCCTAGATTTTTTTCTGAATGGGTATTACCTGCCAACATGGGTATATCACAAATAGTCCCATAAAGTACTTCTCTGCACATTAAAAATGTTCACGTGTTTTTATCTTTTCCATCGCCCACTTCCTTTCAGTCTAGGAGTACTGCTGCACATCTCCTTTCCATGTGCATCTTGCCTGTGCTCTTTCTAGTTTAACACCTTTGTTTTCCCAGCTTTGCACATGCCTCAATGTTGACACAGCTGAACAACACTCTTATTAGCTACAGCTTCCAGGTAAAACACTATGTGATTTCCTCATCTTTCTGTTTCCTCTGTCTTTGCTTGTCAAATTCGTTTTTTTCCCCTAATGCTTTCTCCATCTGCCATATTTCCGATGTCATCTCAACCCTCCAGGTTGGAACCATTCTTGGTATCCACATGTATACTTGGGAAATCGGGGCTACAGAGACTAACACAGAACATTGTATGGCTAGAACTAACACTTCAGTCCTAACTGTATGGCATGGCTTCAAGATCACATTATAAGTATGTATTTGGGGGACTTTCAAATTGGGTTTCCTTCTGGTTACTAAAGCTGAGACAATACACTTAATCAGATCATAGGTAGTAGCTCCCTTAATGATAGGTATTCTGGGAACTTTTGTCCTCTGGTCCCAGAGCACACATAGAACAGAATCACTTCTTTTACAAGCAATGAACACAGGCTGCAACGGGGTTTCTTGGACTCCAGTTTGGATCAGTTCACTCCGAAGGTAGGTAACAGGGCTGCTATTTAGCCAGATGTCATTTGTGTACTAAAGATAGTATTGAGATGTTAAAGAGGTTCAAGATCTTCTGACAGGTATGTTCCTGTCTTTCAGTGAGGCAATGGGATTCAGTTGAAATAATAGATTCAGTTCAGTTCTCAACTTCTTTTACATATTTTTTAAAAATAATAAACTCTATTACAATCACGCTTTTATCCAGCTAATCTAGAATTCATCTCTTGCTGAAATTATTCTCCAGCCAACTTCGGACTTCTTGTAGGTTGTAACTAAAAGGGCCCTTCCCTCCTAAGTAAGCAATTTTCCGTCTCTGCACGATGCACACACGTTCAAAGGCTACCCCGTAAGCTACGTTGGCATTATTGTCCATGCGGTCAGCCACAACTTGACACTGGGGCGGCAAGGAGAAACGCTCCAGGAGTTGGTGGGCTGCTGCACATCGGTCTTCTTGGTTCCGGTGCTTCTTAACCTCAAAAGACAGAGAGGAGTCCCCAGGCACTGCCCAGCCATCTGAAGGGTGAGCCTCATCAATGTATACCAACAGGAAGTCAGCCACCGAGGAGAACTCTTCCACCAGCTGGCGGAAGGCTGGTAATTGCCTAGTGAAAGGTGGTCAGGTGGCTGAACCAAAGTTGACCACCAGTGGGCGCTCTGCACTGGCAAAGTCAAGAAGGTGGCATTCTGCCCCATCAGCGGTCTTCTCCGAGGCATAATTGTTACCTGCTTCAGGATTGGACACGTGCACCACACTGGAATTAGGAGCATCTTCACCCAGTTTAACCTGATAGTGAAAAAGAAAGAAATAAAGAAAAGGAATTACCACATAAACACACTGCTGTTGCAATTTATTCTAAATATAATGGGAGGGGTGGTGTGTGTGTGTGTGTGTGTGTGTGTGTGTGTGTGTGTGTGTAATGTATATTTATGAGTAAAAACTAGTCGTGTCAGGCAGCATAAAGGATGATCAAGAGAAAATCAGTCATTCTGAATATTCATTAGAGGTAATTTTTTCCATCTCTGAAAATACCAGAGTTAGCTATTTTCATAAATAAGTTGATTCTGGTATTTTTTTTCTCTTTTGCTATTCTCACTTTGCTACCAATGCCTACTAGCAAGCATTATAGAATGAATGATTAATTGACTTCATTTTAAAAGTTAAAAGTAAACGGTTCACTTTAAGATAAATTATCTTGGTTTTGAAATAGAATGTCTCCTTCTGAATTCTAAAAGACTCAGGAAAGACAGAAGTTTTCATACATGAGCTTAATTTATTTTCTCTTTGTCTGCTTTTAAATAATAATTCCATTTATTTATTTATCTATCTATCTATCTCTTTCTGTGTGTGTGTGTGTGTGTGTGTGTGTGTGTGTGTGTATCTGTCTGTCTGTCTGTCTGTCTGTCATTCTGTCTGTCTCATAACACTTGTGATAGTCAGAGGACAACTTGTTGGAGCCAGTTCTCTCCTTCCACTATGTGGCTCCTTGAAATTCAAACTCAGCTCATCAGACTTGGCAGCAAGCGTTACCCAGTGCGCCATTTCACCAACCCAATCTAAGTTCCTTAATGTCAAACAGTGGCCTAGGATACAAGTGGTTTCTGTGTCTGGGCAGAGCCGGACAATCTATAATCCATCATTTGTAAGTAGGATTCATCCCACTTGCTCTGGTCAGTGCTTTCCCATCTGGAAAATGTCGGTAATCATGGCTACTTTACTTCTGTGGCTCCTGGAGGGTAAGATGAGGACAGGAACTCTACATATGACAGTGTGTGAATAAGAGCTGCCACTGTCAGACATTACCCCAACACGTAAGATACATTACCACTCCTTTTGATAAATCATATGTTCAAGATTTTAAAAAAATGGGCCAATTGTTCTGTGAATACATTTATGTTCTCTTCTGCATGGTGCACCCTCTGCAGGTTCCTGTGACTACTGCATACATTATGAATGCTATGGCAACAACCTCAAAACTACCTCTAAGAATCCGACAAGAGATTTCTCACTTTCCATGCATTTGGGGTGTTCCCCTAATTTTATCTAGGAAGACCCAAACAAACCATGGGCTTTGCTACCATATAAGTGATTAACAACCTCCCCAGAATAGTAAGTATTCAAATACAAGGCATGTAACTACAATTGTTCCATGCACCTCCTCAGCACCTGGTTGAAATAGTTGAACATGGAATTCTAAAAGTGAGTGGCCTTTGGATCTGTAAATTGATAATAAAAAGCAGGCAATAAGAAAAGAGCCAATTACTTCATTCTGAATTAACACAATTGGATTTCCCTCTAGGATGGTTTAATCAAAGCTAATACCATTAGGGATAGCTTACAACAGTACAATTGATTTTTATACACTATCCTTAATATTACAAAACTCTTCCAACTGGATCGACTTTCTTCTCTCATATAAATAGTCACATATAAAACTGTTGCTAATTGAAGCTACTTAAAAGTGAATCACAGGAAGCAGTGCTGAGCACTGATATAAAGCACCCAATGGGTCTCATTCAGGTGCTTTCATGTCACAACGCAGCTGTTTTAACTTTGAGAAAGAATCAATGTTCCTTCTTTCTTTTCTCAAAACTTTTTGCAGGGCAGGTGTGAAATAGTACTATTCATTGTCCAAAAGTAATCTTAAGATCATAAACTTCCTTCTTAGATGTGATTTAAATAATATATTTTGATTTAATAACAACCCCGGAAGAAAGTTACTTACAAGAATCATCTTGGCCATTTTATAATCAACATTAGATAGAGAAATCTCATAATTTGCCTATGACCAGATGATCTCATTGTTAACTCTGCTAGTCTTTGAAGCACTAAAATATACCTTAAACTTAAAGACACACATTTGAAGCATGTGGTGAGCTTTAAAGTCTTGGGGTCTCTTGGTATACTTTCCAGATTAGGATCTGACTCCACTTTGCATAGCACAATGTCTCCAGGACTACTTTGAACAATATTAGTTGCTCAGTGTTCCTCAACAGCCAGTTATAAGAAGGTCTTTATGTATTCTGGGGAGTGTATTGTAGAGACTTCTTGTGAGGTCATAAACCCATACATGGAGGGAAATTAACATCTGCACTGCCTCCTGGTGAAATAATCCTCCTGCAATTTGGAACCATCATTGAACCCTCTAAACAACTGTGTGGTCTTGATGAATAGGCTGGTGTCTCTCTGGCTCTCACCCAAGCAGACCTTTTGATCCTTGTGTTATTCTTGACTATTCACCTGAACAATCCAATCTGATATTTTGGTCACAGGTGATCTCTTGTTACCTGCAGTTAATTTCCTTAGAACGTGTAAGTGCATGTGACTTCTTAGAGACAATGGACAGTTCTGCCACACAGGTCTTTGCAAAACAACAACATTTTAGTTTCTAGATTACCATGGAAAATGTAGACAAGTATCACACACTGCCACTCTAAATTTAAAACTTGAGGAAGTTGACAAATTCATAATGTGCCTGGTGTGTGTGTGTGGGGGGGGGGAGTTAGCATCCTGTTAGTCTGGAAAACACACATTTTAAAAGCTTTGTTGAGTGACCTTCTGAATAAATACTGGTTGATATAATCTTGGGTCAAGGAAGACTTTTACACTGAATAGAAACCTAGACCTACAGTGAATGTAGTCACAGTCAAGTGATGAACAAACTCACTAAAGCATACATACGTATTCAGAAATAGAAAACCCGCCCCTTCGCCAGAGACCTGCTGTCGTCAACACCAATGTCATTTACCTATTCTTAATAATTTCAGCTAACCAGTAAATAAAAGAAATGCAAAGAATCTTCTTTACTTTTTTCGTGAACACTAAGAAGTCATATATGACTACCTTGTGCTTGAAGATCACAGAGAAAATACAGGCAAGATTAAGGCTACCAGTAAAATTAAATGTGCTGGGCACTTGGCTAATATCCATATATTCATGGATTTGAGTCCCAACACCACAAAATAAACATGTAGGCATGTGCTCACAGCACACACACACACACACACACACACACACAGAGAGAGAGAGAGCGAGAGAGACTCACACTATTATGTGTAAGCCCAAGTGTGAGTAGATCAGCAGTCAGACTTTATAAGCTTCATAAAACTAATCATAAATTCACTATCTTTTCTAAAGCCTGATAAGTGATAAGTTGGCTAAAATTTAAAAAAATAGACATAATCTTAAAAAGAAAAACTTTTAAAACCCATTTCTGTTCATTGCCATTCTCTGACCAATCCCTATGAAAATGAAATTTCCATTAGATTAGAATTCCCAATGGAGAATTTCTTGATTTGCTTGGTTAGAAACCCTGCTGAGATGGAATGGGAGAAACCCCACTGTCTTCACAGTGGAAGACAGGAGCAAAGTATTCCCTGACACAGAGCCAAAATAATGAAGAAAATAAAGTTGGCCCCATAATAACATCGAGGCTACAGGAAAGACACTCAACAAAAACAAGTCATCCCCTGGTACTTCCAAACTTTGTTTTAATTTCCCACAGTGGCACAGAAAGTCTCCTGGCCACAAGTTACCTATCATCTTAATTTCTGCTTCTTAGAGGGTTTGTGTTTGGTTTTTGTCCTTAATGAGACATATTTGCCAAAGAGGCATTCAAAAGGCATTTTTTGCTCTTGCGGAAGAGTAATTAGGTCGGTACCTCTTTCCCTGCCAGCATCAGCCGCCTAAAGAGAATCCTGCCTAGTATTTAATGCCCAAACACAAGAAGCATCATTTCCACTAATTGGTCCTGAAGTTCCGATGTTCCCAAAGGGTCTTTTTATTTTTGCAAGGATCAGAAAGGACACACGTAAAATGTGATAGCGTCATCAGTGACCTTCGTCACTCTCATCTGCACAGTTTTTTTTCCAGTGGATGGGAACACAATGCCAACTAAGGGAGTGAGGAAAGCATTTGCAAGTTTACTGCTGATGACATCTGTGACCCAAGTTCAAAGGTCACAGCAGACATGTTTATAAATGAGAGGAAAAGCATAAATGTATAGCATATACAAGAATTTGATTCCCTTGATGATTGGTCCCTTTTAGGGACAGTGTTGAGTACTTAGAGAAAAAAAAAGATACTGCTGGGAGATGCAGACCCAAGGGAAGTACGGAACCATTCATCAAGTAAACTGGATATACAGTATATACCGCTAACCTTGTTTTTTATTTTTATTTTTTTTCTTTTCCACAGCCTAAGAGAAGCTTTGGAGTAACATATCACACACTATCATGATGAGTAGGGAAACAAATTATAGAGATGGGGGATGGGCATGTACCAGAATATTTACACAAATGTTTGGTCATTGAAAGCTCTGGAAATGGCCTTATTAACTCTCAGGAAGTTTCCAATTCTTTAACATAATGATCAGGCTACACCAATGTCCTTAGAAACATGGCCAAACAATCATTAGCCAGAGCTCTAGCCACCTCCATTCAGATGGGCCAAATAAATCAGACTGGAAGAACAGACTGCCTACTCCATCTTCTGGGTTAAGTTCCCTTTTTTGGTTATTCTCTTTTTGACTTGTACCTTGAAAATGAAGCTCAAAGCCCTATCATTTTGCTATGTTTTATCCAAGTGACAGGCAGGCTCTGACTGTGGCCTTCTTCTCTCTTTAAAAAGCCACTTTTCACTGCAGAAGCCCAGTGTCAAAAGGCTTGAGGTGAATAAAGAGGAGGAGAATGTTAAAGAGACCCTTTCAAAACCAAAATTATATGTTCCAATGAGCATGGTTTCTGTGCCACTGAAACATTAGCTATGCAGAAATGAGCCTGCTTGTCAGTGTCTATACTGTCTGCTTACTTTTACACTTCATTTAGAAGCCAGGCTCCAAGAGAGGACAGCTTGCTTACCCGTTACATTTCTGAGTTTTTGAGTACCAACACAAGGGTACTGTGTTCACAAGCAACGACACTAAGAAAGCTTAAATAACAAATAGTTGTTATTAGTGCCAACCCTTTTACCAGATTCTAGATTTTTCTTTCAATCCAAATGCACACAGACCTCCTGACCATTGACATGTGACATTTGACAACTTTTTTATAAAATTAATTTTAAATCACTTTTAAGCTTTCAATACAGTTTTTATTGGTAATATTTCATTCTGCTCTTCTATCTTCCCCTCAGTCCAGCTCTGGCCTATGTCACCTCCACTGTGGATAAATAAGGCACCTCTAAATACCCTCCCAAATATAATAGCGGACATTCATTAAGCTAGACAGTTGGGAGAACTGAATGATTGGGCTACTTGAATCCCATGTAGACACACCCCTCATCCCGGACAAATCTGCTTCGAGAGTTGCAGTCACCAAATAATGCAAGTCAAGATTGTGAAATCCCAAGATGCAGTGTCAGACAGAACCACTTCTGGCATCCGGAAACAGTCACACCTAAAGACAGTGTGTCATGACTGACATGGCATTTGGCAAATGACTCAACATGTTTGAGAGGCTCTGGGTAAGCTTCTGAGACTACCACCTCCACCACGATGCCAGTCATACTCAGAGACAAGAGGACAGAATTTAGCTCACACTGTACTCTTGAGGTTTCCCTACCTCTCACACCCAGCCCAGCCTTGTTCTCATTTTCCTAAGGTTTCTTTTCCACATAGTATCTATTGTATAAATCATTAAAAGCGAGCATAATATTGTAAGCCATGAACTTGGTCTCTAATCAAATCAGTGGGCAGAGACAAAGAAACAGAAAAGAGGAATACACAAACCATATGCCAAAAGTAAAAGCAAATCACTTGATTTCCATGAACACAAATAACAACATATTACAACACAATGGAACACTATACATTAGTGAAAAAGACATAACAAAGTTTATTACAGAGGCATTTGCTTGTTTTTTCCATGTCCACTTCAATTATCTGCTTAACGAGCAAGACAACCTCACTTAATGTTTGTGGGAGCTTTTGCACCCTCCAAAGTTGATGTGGAAAGAATATTTCTATTCTGGACATATCCACGTGGGTAAACTTCTTCAAAAATCACTTTTAAATTTTTGTAAGCGAACGTCCATCATCTTTCAACAATAAGGCATTTAAAAGACTCATATCAAACCCCTAACATTCCATATTATCTAAGACATAGATATAGTTAAGGGGATTAACTAATCAATAGTATTTTAATATGCAGGTACAGTACCCCACTCCTCTAAGCTCCTGACACCTAAAGCATACATAGGAATGTCACATCCTGTGTGCACACATCTGTGGGGGTGGCAGGAGCTCTTGGTATCTCCATGGCCATATATTTCACTTGCATGTATGATATAACTGAGCTTTAAATAGCAGAGCCTCCAAGCATCCGTCCCTATCCCGAGGAGGGTATTCCTCGCTAAGAAGAGGCTTAACATTGGACACTCCCTCCACAGTGCATGACGGGATTTCTTTGCGATATTCACAATAATGATGCCATGAATCACACAGCAGTCCCTGTTCACAAAAGGCATTTTCTTCCTCAACATTTGCTTTCCAGTGAAACACCCTGCTCTGGATTCTTTATTTTTATTTCCCTGGCACCTGGATTTATTTTTCCAGTGTTTACTAGGGAAGGACTCCTTCCCTTCCTCCTCTGCTATTCTGAGTTCCTGTCATGATGCCCGCCACTCCACCTGCCTCGAGAGTGGTGCTTGGTTGAACATCTGGCTTCACTATTTCTTCCAAACTCCCTTCTCTGACAAGCTCTCTCTCAGTACTGCTAGGAACACATTTCCTCTTTTCATAGGAACTTTTTTTTTCTAAATGCATTCATTCTTCCTAATACCCAGGATGCTTCAGGAACCTAAGGGATGGAGGACCATACAAAAGTATTCATTCCACTTCATCCTGACAGATATGATTTGAAAATGTTCCCCTACACATGTCCCAGTAGCAGAAAGCCTGAAACACCAGAGGTTTTCACATCCAGACATCCATCACTCACCTTGGTGTTTCAAAAGCTGATGGGAACACACCTTCCCCAGGTAAGGGAGGTCACCACTCTAATGTCCAAGGCCTGATATCGGAATGCACTATAGACCCAGCACATCTTTGTACCGGAATTTATTTGTAGATTTGGTTTCACACACTAAGACTGGATTTCTGACAACTCATTCGTATATCTTTCTTTTGCAAATTGATACTTAATAATGAGGAATCCACAAATTCCAACTAAGTAGGTGAAGTGCTCAGCTTACATTCATGTGTTCTTACCTCCCTAAGAAATGAAGGGACTAGAGTGTGGTCAAAGCCATCATCCTCACCACCACCACCACCACCACCATCACCATCATTCAACTCTGACCATTTCAGCAGAAAGAAAACACTATTTAAACCTTCCAACGACATACCACACAGCCTCCTGGAAAGCAAAGCAGCAGAAGCCAGCTCATGTCGAGGGCAGAACAAATGGAGCAAGTTCCAAGCCCCCCAAAATTCTGATTTTTACCTAGAGTTATTTTATGCAAAGACAAAACACTTAAACTGCCAACTCAGTGCAAAGTAACAGCAGTCCTCATTAAAGACTCCTGCTGAAGTCACCCAGAGTCCCCGGTGGCTCAATGTCGGTCACTCCCGAATCTAACCTGTGCAACAGGTGTCCCAAGTGGCACTGAGACTTTCTTGAACATAATCACTGGAGAGGCTACCAAAGATAGGACTTCCCATGGCCAGCAGCTCCACCCCTTCCAGACCCCTGGCCCTGAGACCCAGGAGAAGCTCAGTGGATGCAGCTCACCTGTTTGTAGGCATCTAGGAGGAAGCTGTTCCAGACACAGCGCAGCCCTTCTGAGGTCAGCATGCGCCTCCACTCTCCGCGAGTGGACTTGGAGCGGCTGAGAAGCAGCGCCACGTGCTTGAGCAGAATGACCGAGTCATAGAGCGCCAGGAAGAGGCAGTTGGAGAAGAAGACTGGCAGGATCTGTAGGGTGATCAGCAAGTCTACGCTGAGGAGTCCCATCTTCTCTGCCTCCTCAGTCAGTCTCCTGTGCACTCGGCTTTCCCAGTCACCCTCTCTTTGCAATGGAAGGTAGTGGTAGAGAAGTGGGGGACCAAAGGGAAGGTTGGGAGTGGGGTGGGGGTGAGGGAGAGGGAGAAAAACTAAATGAGAAGGAATCCCAACTTGTCTCTTCTTTGAAAGAAGCAGAAATGGAAAGACCAAGTTCAGTCTCTGCAGCCCAGCAGTTGGAGTGTACCCATCAATTCATTCAATTCCGAGATGCATTTTTTTTTCCAGGATTTAAGATGGTTTTAAAAAAAAAAAAAGCACCACCACCAGCAGCAGCAGCAACAACAACAACAACAACAAAAACCCTGGCGTGCCAGTCCCTAATCCAGTTTACCCCTGTCAGAGTCCGTTAAAGACAGGAAGTTCTACTTTCATTTCCAGGCACCTATGAGACTGCAGAGATGGTAAAAATTTTTCTTTTAGCTTTTCATGTTCCTTTAAACGCAGTCTGCCTTCTTGCACTGCCAATTTCTTAACTGTGCTGTAAGGGTAGGGGTTGTTTGGGGTTTTTTTCTTTCTTTTTTTCTCTCTGTCTTTACTCCGTTGTCAACATACTTTCTCTTCTCCTCCTCCCTGCCTGTCTCCCTCTGCCTGTCCTTTCTCCAGGTTCTCCAGGAGCGGCTGTCCTCCGCCCCCTCCCTCTGGCTTTTTCCTCTTAGCTATCTTCTGCCTCGGCTGCAGAGTGCCTCTCTCTGCAGCCCAGTGAGTCTCCCTGAAGCCTTTTATACATTCCCTGGCTAATTGCTGCAATAGAGAAATGAAAGCCTAATCTTGCTAAAGATCTTGACGTCATTGAGAAAGAGGGCTTTACTTTGGCCAGGAGTGCAGTGAGCAGAAAAGCAAAACTCTACAACTTTTTTTTTTTAAGGAGGGGTGGGGGAAACAGACAGTAGGATTTTCCTTTGTGCTTTAAAGGGAGAGAGGGAGGGAGGGGAGGGAGGGAGGGAGGGAGGGAGGGAGGGAGAGAGAGAGAGAGAGAGAGAGAGAGAGAGAGAGAGAGAGAGAGAGTACCTTTGACAAGTCTCAGGAAATGCTTCCAAACTTAAAGAAAAGTAATTTGTAGACTGATATGTTAACACTTTCCTCTTATTATCATTTTTATTAACTTAGGAGTTTTGGCAAGAAAGATTCCTGGCAGGCAGGTAGAAAAGAGAAAGAGTGAACATAGATGCTCTTTGCTCCATTAAAATATATATATACCTCAATCCTCCTACGTGCGCTTTACACTTTATACCATATTTTCCCCCACCAGATTTCATTCCTGGGTGTTATGATTTTATTTTCAGTAATGAACTTATTGACGGGAATAGAAAGTGAGTTTTGAGTTGGAAAAGTTGTAAACTATTTGAGACCACTGCAGTATATCTTTAAAGATTATCCCAAAACTCAATATAAGTATTATTTTTGGTTTTACTAAAGCTTCAATATAAATAATAATAATAATAACAACAATAACTAACCTTGAAACATGACAGGAGCTGAGTGACCAAATCTTTCAGTGTCATTTTCCTACAACATTGATAAAACAGTATTTCCATTTGTTGGCATTTAGATCCCAGGAGGCTAAGAAATTGATTATTTATGAGACTCTTTTAAATTCAACCCTTCCAGTAATAGGCCAGAAGCGTTAGTGAACTATTTATTTTGCTTGAGGAAAAAATTAAAAGAAAAAAAAAGACTATAGTTGGTTAGGGGTTATAGGTGGTTAGGGGCTGTAAGTGGCTAGGGGCTATAGTTGGTTAGGAATAGAAACAAACCAAGAATTGGAACCAGGTGCCCCTGGGCCTCAGTGGACTCCCTTCCCTTTTAGTTCCCAGGACAATTATTTAAACAGATAGTCTGGCAGCGAATCTCTACCCCTACCTCCTCCTACTTTTCCTCCCTCTCTTACCTAACAGATCAACTCTAGGAATGACATTTTTCTGAGAGCAGTAGTGGCAATTATAGACACTGGGGTGGAGGCATAAATTTAAATTAAAAGTCAATTAGTTGGGTTTTCTGTGTTCACAGAGCTCCTATCAAGCATGAACTGAACAGTAGACGCAGACAGGTGGTCAGTCTGTTGCTCTACTATATCTTGCCCCGAGCCCCAACTCCATATTGACAGGACTGGAAAGCCTAGACAGAGATTGTTCTTTGTAGGGAGCATGGGCTGAAATCTCCTTATGGATATAATTTTTTCAGCTGGCAGCATGCTTTTGAAAACTCATCCAAGGAGAGAGTCAGCTCTATGTGACCCATGACTCTTGTCTTGTCTGCACATTGCCATCTCCAGAGCACTTAAGAATCCTGGTTGGGACATGTTCAGCTCAGTGAAGATGTTCTGAATGAATGAATACCTAGGGTACATAGAGGGCTCAGCTTTGCTTCACACTAGGGGGCGCCATTCACATACAACATGACATAGTGGATAGGTGCTCTGATATTCTAAAATGAGGTATCTGTTTTGCATGGCCCTTCCCAAAGACAATGGCTTTCTACCATCATATCTTTTGCTTGCTTCCTTCCTTCCTTCCTTCCTTCTTCCTTCCTTCCTTCCTTCCTTCCTTCCTTCCTTCTTTCCTTTCTTCCTTCCTTCCTTCCTTTCTCTTTCTTTCTTTCTTTCTTTCTTTGAATAATCAATTGTGAGGTTTGAGTGTATATTCTATGAACTAAATTTTTAGAGAAGACTTCAGATGTTTAAAAACCTCACATAAACCACAGACTTTCCTTGGATCAGCATGTGCTACTTGCAAAAAGATATCATTCACAAATATAATATTTATTTGTTCCATTCTTTCAAACTTCTCAATGCCTTTATGGAAGGAAAGAGAGGACAAAAAGAAGGAGGTGACTAAGGTACCTTAATTAATGTAGATGAAGTCCCTGGCAACTAGGATAGGAGGTATGCCCCCCAACCCCCCTCCACCGAGAAATGAAGCTTCTACACACTGCCCAGCCCTGAAATTCTCAGCCCTTTGCAGATCTCTTCTGAGAATGAGAAAAGTTAACCCATTTGCCTTTATTCTCAAGACCTACAGTGTGATTGAAGTGGCCTCTTAAGAAGAAGGATTGGTGAGAAGTTGGAAACTGTTCCCTTTTCAAGTGTAAAGTGCAGACTAGAAGTACTTAGATATCAGAATTAAAACCAGTGGGGGCTGTTTGCTCACATCTTTTTCTTTCCTTTATTTGAGAGTAGAAATGTCAGAATGTAATTGAAATAAGTTACAATCCTCCAAAGCTAGGTCTCTTTCTGCATGTAGTTCCTAGTTGTTTGTTATAACAATTCATTGTATTTAGTATTTTGATTTTCAATAAATGTACTCTTTAAGTCACAGAACAATCATCACAAGTGGGTCAGCATGATTGGAGAGTCAAGTCACGATGGACGCCTCCCTGACCTCTGTACTTCACTGTTTTTAATAGCTGTTTCCCTGTTCCTGGTTAGGTCATGGCTCTGAGGATCAAAAACTCTTACTAAGGCTGGTTCACTAGGTATTTTATATTCTAAATTGCAACAAGTATCTAGAACCCAACATCTACTTAATATCACCCTGATACAATCACTGAGTTCAGATTTCACATCACATTGAAAGGGTTTGAATACCCTCTCAGTCATGAAATTGTCCTGAGAAGTCAATATGCCAATGAAATGGGTGCAAACCAGCACAGGACATGATGGTTGAATTTCACCATACAATGTTTGACACTGGTTGTCGTTTCCAAAGACAAGGCCCAGGGAAAAACATTCTAAGCTTTTGTATTTGAACAGGATCACCATAAAACTGTTTAAAAACTTTCCCCTCTTTTCATAGTAAGAGTGCATCATTCTGAGGTATTCACTGCCTTTGCTTAGAAAAAAATAAATGAGAAGTCTTCCTGTAGTTTGCTTGCTCGTTGGCTCTGCAACTGAAATTAAGAAAATGAAGTTGGGTGACCTGAAAGTTAGCTCGATATTTCGGAGCCTGGCAGATACCTCTCTACTTCCAGCATTCTTGTTTTAAAAAGGAAGCAAATACCCAAAGGATTTTCCACATTAGCAGTTCATGCCATGGACATACAAGCAACCTTGGTTTAAAGGATTATAGTCCAGCAAATCATTCGTATGATTTGTCAAATGCATAATAAACATGATGTTTCATCTTTATTAAGAATCTGTAGAATAAATGTAACAATTATGAATTCAAACATTTATGGAAAGGGAAAATGTGCTGACTAGGTCTTGCAAATTGTGCTTTGAGATATGCTTCACTAAATGATGTAGTTCTAATCAGAAAACAAGCTCACAAAAGTGCACAACCTCCTGTCTCTAAGTTCTGGTGTGCCAGAGAGAGCTGGGATTGCAAGGTTGCACAAATCCTGATACCTTCCAAATTTCCCATGGGTGCATCCCTTCTGTAAACACTGTCACGGTTTCTACCTGACTGTGATGAAATGCGCATCTCAATGGACACCATGCACAGCCCCAGAGTCAATTCTCACACACCTTAAAAAAAGCAACTCAGAGCTGAGGTGAGGTCAGGCAGGCAGATGCTGTGGGAGGTGAGAAATTCTCTCCCTATAGCCCTTCCCTAGATCAATGGCAAGTATTGGCACATGGGAGGTGTTAATGCATTATCCATCTCTCAGGAACTGAGGCTGCTCATTTTTTAAGGCCACCTACCTCAAGCAGAAGAAGGGAAGAGAAGGGGAAAAAGAGATAGAGAACAAGGAAGAGGAATGGAGAGGTAAATGTGGCCATAAAGGAATTTGGGGAAATGCTGGCTCAGTGAGTGTCTTCTGTTACTATTGCTGTAATAAAATACCATGATCAAAACTGACAAGGAGGAAAGGGTTAATTTTATTTTAAACTTTCAATTGATAGTTCATCTCTGATAAAAGTCAAAGTTAGGAATTCAAGTCAAGAACAGAGAGGCTAGACCTGAACCAGAATTCATAGATGAAGGAGCGCTTCTTACTGGCTTACTCTCCCT